AAAGCTTGGTTTAGGGAAGGCTGTGGCATTCTGTCCAATTTGGGGACATGGGAGTTAGCTCTGCATATTGTTCATCTTGGGCTTCTAGTGGCTCATTCCATTTTTCAAATTTAATGGTTGGTGTGTGTGTGTGTGTGTGCCCTTACACTCACGTGTGCGTGCTGGAGTGTACACGAGCATACACATGAAGACCAGGGATAACCTTGGGTGTGAGTCCTCAGGTACCACCCACCTTTTTTTTCTTTCTTTCTTGACTCCAGGGTCTCTCACTGGCTTGGGAGTTACCAGTTCTGGCCAGCAAACTCCAGGGCTCCACTCGCCTCTGCCTCCCCAGCACTGGGAGTACAAGCGCAGGCCATCATCACCATCACGATACCCAGTTTTTTGTTGTTGTTTTTAACGTCCTGAATTGATGTTTTGATGAATTCTGAGTGTTGAGTTCAGGTCCCCATGCTTGTGTGTCAGGCACTTTACTGATTGAGCCAACTCTTCAGCCTCCCCTGTAGTGGAGGCTCCGGTGTAGATATCCCCACAGAATGCTAGCTTTGCCGTCGGCCCTTCAGGCACGCCCTTTAGGAGTTTCCACTTGTTCCCTTTAGCCTGGCAGTGGCTTCCCTCTGACTGAGACAGCCAGAGCATCGCACTCTGGGAAATTGCTCTTGCTTCTTGGCTCACTTTTCATTCCCTGGACTGCTCAAAGGTGCCCCGAGACTACTAGCTTCCCAACTCCCTCCTCATCGCCATTTGAAATGACTCATATAGCAAAGCGGAATCATCCACACAAATCAAACAAGTCCCCTGAACCCTAATGCCAGGCACCACACTGAGTGCTTGGGCATCTTGTCCCGGGAAAGGAAACTGCAATAAAGTTTATGATGGTGTGGCTGGCTCTCCTCTGGTGTGCCTGGCAAGGCCATTAGGAGTTAGAGAGAAGGAAATCGGGGACACATGAACCAGCCTTATGTGACAAATCATGCTCCCTGATCATGTGTGATGGCCGAGAGAGGACATGTCTCCGTTTGGCATGGGTTTTGAGCTCTGCCAAGTGTCGAGTCTTTGTTCCCACACACATACCCATTGATCTCACTAACTAAAGCAATTATCATCACTTAGCAGCCTTTTCAGAAAGCCTTTTTTTCCACTCCAAAACACCACTTTCTTTGCCAAAGTGTTACAATGTTGCATCTTGGCAATTGGTCAGCGTTTACTGCCAAATTATGTAAGCCCTTGGTGGGCCTGGCTGACGGAGCAAAGATGTGTGTTAGGATCTTACACCAGGCCTGGTGCCCGGAAGTGGAGAACAGCCATCCTTAGATTCATTCATTCATTAATTCAGTGTTTATGCTTTGACTGGGTAGGAAATCTACATTTGCTTAAGACACTCAGCTGAGAAGTATCATCATTTTGTCAAGGAAATGGGAATTGTGCCTGGTTCATGAAATTCAGATATGTGGATTGTTCTCACTAACCTGGAGCCAGGGTTGGAATAAGCCATGTGGCCATATTCAAAGACTGAAATGTAATCAGTGTTGATTATAGTAATGGTGGCAAAGGACTCTTAAAACCCTGGTTGAGCTTCTCATTAGTAAGTATCAGAAGAAATGTTTTCATTGTAGAGCCAGCATAAGGAGACATTATTGGTGAATAAAAATAGAACCCACAAAAGAGCCCAGCTGGATGAAATTGTCTGTATAGCGGCTTTAAAAAAAAGCCAAAGGGCTGAGGTATCCTCAGTGGTCAAGTGTTTACTTAGCACCTGGAAGGCCCTGGGTTTGGTCCCCAGCCCTGCCCACAAAAGATTTGTAATCGACGTTTAAAAACAGAAAGAGAATCCCATGATGCTGCTGAGAAAAGGGGTCAAGTGAGTTTGGCACTGTCCATCATGCATCGCTTCATGGACCTAAGGCAAAGTCACCTGGCCTCCCCACTCCCAGCCCACCTGCTCTGCTTTAAGATACCAGTAGGCCTTCCTGTAAGCAAGCCTAATTCAAACATCGGGACACACACACATACACACACACACACACACACACACACACACACACACACACGCACACACACACACACACACGCACACACGCACGCACGCACGCACGCACGCACGCACGCACGCACGCACCCTAAAAGGGCCTGGTTGAGAAGAGGATGAGTATTGGTCCCAGTGACAGGGGAGACATGAGAGGGTATTAGGGTGAATATGGGAAAGCATATATGTGTATGATAATGTCATAAGGAAATTCACTGTGTGTAATTAGTATATGCTACTAATTTTAAAGTGGTCAGTTATCACTAAAATTATCAAGCCAGAGCTGGCAAGATGGCTAGGTAGTTACTTGTTGTCAAGCCTGATGACCTGAGTTTGATTCCACAATCCATATAGTGGAAGGAAGGAAGGAATAAATTTTCCTCCAACTTCCATATGTGTGCTGTGGAATGTGGGCGCATGCACTCGAGTACACGCACGCGCACGTGCACACACACAAATGACTGTAATAAAAAAATTATCAAGCCAGGCGTTGGTGGCGCACGCCTTTAGCACTCGGGAGGCAGAGGCAGGCGGATCTCTGTGAGTTCCAGGACAGCCTCCAAAACAATACAGAGAAACCCTGTCTCGAAAAACCAAAAAAAAACAAACAAACAAACAAACAAAAAAACAAAAACAAAACAAAACAAAAACCAAACCAAACCAAACCAAAATTATTGAGTTAGTTAAGTTCAAAGGTTTGTCTCCTTTTCCCAGTCCTCATCAAATGATAGTAAAGGAATCAACAGGGAAAGACCCGCAATAGATGAAGAGTGTGGGTGCAGGGGTTAGTTGGGGAGTGTGGGGGCAGTCACTGCACTAGCAGAATGAAGCCCCATGTGCCTGGAGCATCATGCTAGGTGACTGGCTGTGAGATGCAGCCCTAGATTACTGAAGGAAGCAGGGGAGAAGGGTCAAGACCCAGGGAGTCACTTAAGGTCTTGGAGAACTGGAGTAGTCAGCCCTCAGAGCGTTCTCGACACCCTGGAGCTGGGAACAGCATCTCTCCGCACCTCTCTCAGACTCCAGCAGCATCGGGGAGAACAGATGGACTCAGAACAAGCGGTGCATGGGACGGAGGGGGACTCACCAGAGCGGGGCTCTCCACTTGTCTTCTGCCATGCCTTATGATGCCAGAAGACATGCACTTGCAGCCCAGCAGGGGGATGACAGTGATCAGTTTGAAAGACTTCATTTCCCTTGAAGTTGGGGTGGCCAGTGAGTAGGCTTTCCTCAAGAAGATGTATGTGCATGTGCCTGTACACATGAGTGCAGTGCCCTCAGAGTCCAGAGAGGGCGTGGGACCTGCTGAGCTAGAGTTACAGGTGGTTGTGAGCCCCCTGACATGGTAAGAGCATTACATGTTCTCCTTCACTCAGATAGCTCTCCAGTCCCAAGAACTAGTTTTTTTTTTAAAGAAACAACTAAAAATATACATCCTTGTATATTTTTGTAGCACAAACTAGATATAGCAGGAAACACAATTGGATGGAGAAAATGGGATCCCTTGGCAAAACTTTGTGCACATGGACCTAAAACTCTGGTGGTAACAAACAACTTTCTTGGGAAATTCAATACCAGAATTAACTGTAGAATTGGAAGGATGGCTCAAGAAGACCAAGAAAGAGACAGAAACCAGCTGGTTGTTAAGTGTGAGGGGCAGCTGCAGGTCTCCTGGGGGTCTCTGTGGCTGCTGCAGTTTCTCTGGGTGGTTTCTGCTTGGGGCACTATGCAATAGGCATGGCGCTTGTCCTTCTTCAGGTCAGTTCCTCAGACATCCAGCATGGGTAGCCACACCCTGCACAGAAAGAGGCAGCGATTCTTGGTGTGGTATTAGGATCCATTGCAAAATAAAGATTTTGAGTTTTATCCCCCCACAACCCCTGAACTTGAACCCCGGACCCTCAGGAACACTTTTCAGATGATATGCCAGGCAAACTGTTTGGTATGAAAAAGTTAAAAAATAATAATTCCGTCATTTATTCTCCTTGTTAATTTCACAAACAATCCCTTAGAGAGAAAACCATGTCTTAAATAGTATTAAAGATCTCAAAGCTAGAGAAACTGGGGTGTAGCCCAGTTGGTAGAGTGCTTGCTTGGCGTGCATGGAGCCCTGGGTATGTTTGCCAGCACTACGTAAACCGGGTATGGCACCACACCTTATAATCTGACAGTTCAGGAGGTAGAGGCAAGAGGCTCAGAGTTGAAGGTCATTCTTGAATACATAGCAAGTTTGGAACCAGTCTGGGATACAAGACCTTGTCTCAGGAAGAAAAAAAAAAAAGTAGAGGTGGCCAACTAGATGCCTCAGTGGGTGAAGGTGCTTGCTGTCAAGCCTGGTGACCTGAGGTCAAATTCTGGGGTATAAATAGTAGAAGCTGAGAACTGACTTCTGTGTGTTGCCTTCTGGTCATGTGATTACTGTGGCGTGCATGCATCTACATACATGTATACACCTATATGCATACCCAAAATAAATAAATGTGCAAGATGTTAAAGCCAGATGTGCATCTAAAAAGGCCAGTAGTATTTTGGGAGGAAACTTGGCAGAGGAAGGGAAGATCAAAGATAATCAATCCTCAGTCTCCTAGCTCTCATCTATGGAAAAGTACCTTGTTCTTAATTGCTGGCGACCAGAACACTCTCTTGGTTAAAAATAAATAGCACAAATTATGAGGAAACCTACTAAGGGAAAAAAAATGACAAGAATAGCTGGAAACAGGGCAGAGATATGCCAGCGGCCAGGTCACTACACCAGAGACTGCCCTCAGGCCAGGGCTGCAGCCAGTGTTGGCAAGCCAACCATCGCACAGGTTCAAGGACACCCAGAAAGAAGTGCAGGTCAGGACAGGACTCAGCTATGGGTCCCGAAGTCTCTTTGCTGTTTGGAGTGTCTGACTGGCTTTCCCCCCCTCATAATCAGCATCTTTGCCTAAACAGATATGATCTAATGTAATTCCTTCTTCCTTCCCCCCAGCTGGGACAGCGAACCATGGAGCTGTATTTTGGTGAATACCAACACGTACAGCAGGAATATGGGGTCCACCTGAGACTCGCCAGTGAAGAGGCCCCGAAGCCAAGGAATTCCCAGTCCTCAAAGGCAGGCTCCTATGGTGTCAGTATTAGGGTCCAGGGAATTGATGGTCACCCTTACATAGTCCTGAACAACACCGAACGGTGTCTAGCAGGTACTCCTTTTCCAGAAAACGGTCCAGCGTTTCCATCTTCAATGATAAATAATCTGTCCTTACATCCAAGCAATGGGACCGTGTTGAAGGAGAACCATCCAGAGGAGCTGCAGCTTCCAGAAAACCCATACCTGCAAACCAGCCCGATAAGAAACCAGAAGCAGCTTCCGCTCCATGAAGGCAAGAACGGAGTTGTAGAACGCAAAGACAGGCCCACAAAACTACCCCACGTGCTCAACTTTCAGAGGCACCCGGAGCTTCTGCAACCCTATGACCCTGAAAAGAATGAGGTGACCTCAAAGCATCACCCTCCGGAGAGTCCCTGGCTGAGAAATGCACTAGAGGAAGGGACCAACTACAAGAAGCCTCGGAATTGCTTTCCCAAACCTTGCGGTTCCCAGTCCAACAGCCCTACTTTGGAAGATGCAGCTAAGACCAACACGACGGCAATCCGTCTCTGCAGCTCCGTGGTCATAGAAGACCCCCAAAAGCAGACCTCAGTGTGCGTGAATGTTCAGAGCTGCGCCAAGGAGGGTGTAGGGGAGGAGGCCCTTTCCCCTCGACGGAAATCTTCAGCCGCCCCTAGCCCACAGGCCTACTCTGAAACCAAGAAAAGTAGGCCAGATGTACTGCCCTTCCGACGACAAGATTCCGCAGGACCCATTCTGGATGGAGCTCGGTCACGGAGGTCATCTTCGTCATCCACAACTCCCACCTCAGCCACTTCCTTGTACAGATTTTTACTTGATGATCAGGAATGCGCCATCCATGCTGACAATGTCAACCGCCATGAAAACAGAAGGTATATCCCCTTCTTGCCAGGAACTGGGCGGGATATCGACACCTGCTCAATTCCTGGTGTGGACCAGTTAATAGAAAAGTTTGACCAAAAGCCTCAGAGAAGAGGAAGGTCTGGGAAGAGAAACAGGATCAATCCGGAGGACAGGAAAAGATCTCGAAGCGTAGATAGTGCCTTTCCGTTTGGTCTCCAGGGAAATATAGAATACCTCACGGAGTTCAGCAGGAACCTGGGCAAGTCTAGCGAGCACCTCCTCCGCCCGTCCCAGGTCTTCCCGCAGAGGTCGCTGGCCCCTGAGCACCGTGGGAAGCACAGTCCAAGCTGCGCACTTGCAAAGCTGCAGGGTGCCACACAGGGTGCCCACTCCAAGCCTCTCCTGCAGAACAAAGATGGGAAAGTTCTGAACAAAGGAAGCCAGGAAAGCGTGGTGGCTTGTACCTCCTCCCTTCCAGCACAGAATAAAAAAGAGGAAGAAATTAAAATAGCCACTGCCACGTTGATGTTACAGAACCGGGCCGTGGCTGCCACACCTGATTCTGGTGCCAAGAAAATTTCGGTGAAGACGTTTCCTTCCGACTCTAATACACAGGTAACACTTGCGTTTTTCCTTTTCAAAGAGGCCTAAACAATGCGCCCTAGGAATGGGTGTCCTCTGTCTTAAAGCAGCAATAGCACATTTGATGATTTTGTGTGTGTAAGTGCACATTTGCATATATGTGCACATACATAGGTATGTGATGCATATGTGTGTGGAAGCCATCCGGGGTCTTCCTCTGTCACTCTCCACCTTACTTCTGGAGAGGGGCTCTCACTGGACCTGGAGCTCACTGACATAGCCACACTAGCTGCCTGCTCCTTGTTCCCTCCCCAGGGCGGGGATGTGCAGTGCCTGGCTTTCTCATGGGTGCTGGAAGGAACTCATTAGCATGCTTTCAGAGCAAGCATTTCACCAACTGAGCCATTTCTCCAACCCTTGAACATTTTGTTTTATTTTACTTATTTAATTTTTTTACCTTTTTTTTTTTTGAGACAGAGTTTCTCTTTGTAGCCCTGGCTGTCCTGGAATTTATTCTACAGACCAGGCTGGCCTTGAAATTAGAGATCCTCCTGCCTTTCCTTCCCAAGTGCTGGGATTAAAAGGGTGCACCACCATGGCCCTGCTGTTTTATTGTTTTTTTTAAAATCAGATTATGCCCTACTGCCAACTGTATAGTTTTCTAGATTATTCTGAGAGCTGCCAGTTCACTTTCTGTAAACTACCCTGTCAAATAGTACACAGAGAGACTCCATTTCTCTTCATGTGTGTGAAGTCTGTATGTATACAGCATGAGTTTTCACACACACAGGTTCTGAGGTTAGGTTTACATCCATATACTTTTATTCCTGAAGTTGGGTGGCTAGGTTGGTTTCTGGTCTGAGAAATTAGGTTAATCTTCATTTAGGTTAATTGCAAAGTGATAGAGTCTAAGTGGCACATTGAGTGTTTTGATAGTAGCAGTTTAAAAAAGTAATAATAACAGCAATAAAGACAATGACAAGGCTGGTAAGTCCCAGGCGTTATGATATAATAGCATTGCGCCAGCTGTGCGAGGCTCTGCTGTTAACCTTCATTTACCACTGAGAAAACCCAGGGGGATGAGAAGTCACTTGCCCAAGGGTCCAAAGCTCATGGAGTTTGGGATGAGGAGGCTGGCCAGATGAATTGATTTTGGAAAGGAGTGTGCCAGCAGCCTCTACTTCAGGGTCATTGCCATCTTCCTGGGAGTGTCACCCTCTTGGTCTAATGACATACTTCATTATGTTCCAGGCCACACCAGATCTGTTAAAGGGCCAGCAGGAGCTTACGCAACAAACCAACGAGGAGACAGCCAAGCAGATCCTTTACAATTATCTCAAAGAAGGGTGGGTGCTTTTCTTTAAAGCACAAAGTCTTTGCCATTTCTGGTGGGGCTCTTGACTTGTATTTGGGGCTTTGTATTTAACCTTTATTTCCTGTTCCACCGGAGCCAGCCAAGGGCTTGTTTCTATGGATGCAGTTTCCTACTAGGTACAGGGGGTAGGGAAGGGTGCTCTTTGTGAGTCAGTTAAAAACATATAGGTTTTATACTTGTATATGTGTGTCCATGAGAAATGCCTATGTGTGCGCATGTATATACAGGTGCACTCAACATCCAAGCTCACGTGGGAGTCAGAGGTCAAAGTCAGGGATCCTTCTCTATCACCTTCTGCCTTGATTTTTTTGAGGCAAGATCTCTCACTGAACCTGGAGCTCCCAGTTTCAGCTAGCCTGGATAGCTAGCAAGTTCCTGGCATCTGCCTTTCTCTGCCTCCAAACCCTGGGGCTACAGATATGTGCCACTGTGGCTAGCTTGTGTGTGTCCTGGGATCCACGCTCACAGTTTACTCACCAAGTCATCAACTCCCCTGCCTTAAGTCAATGTTTTCAAAACCTTTACTGTATCAAAACAAGCTCAGGGACGGGGAGGTCTTCCATGCCATGGCAGTCTCCATCTTCCCTTATCTGAATGAAAGCTCCTCCTTTCTCCCAGAGGGGGGCATGGCCCAAGCCAAGTTCCATGATTGTCAAGTACCCGGGAGGCATCTGAGAGCAATGCTTGCCCAGTCTATCTTGGAAACTGCTTCCAGCCACTTGGGTTCTTTTCCTCCGTGCCAACCATGCTGGGACTGTGGCGCAGGAATCTGAAGTTTCTGTCACAGTTGTCTTACAGAGCGGTTAGAAGAAAGCAGAGGCTTCCAAGTATGATATGAATGAAAGTCACCTGAGATGTGCTGTCAACACAGGGTGTTTGTGTGCTGTGATTTACGATTGACTTGTCAGCCTGACAGAACTGGCAAAGTGGGTTCAAAACACAACACAGGGCCTTAAAAATGACCACAGAGCTTCTAATACTGCCTGTGAGGGGCTTCACCCTGTAAAAGTAGAAGACTGTGGTTTCTAAAATCCTTTCTTTTCCTTCCTTCCTCCCCTTCTTCCCCTTCTCCGAGCTTTCTCTCTCCCTCCCCTCCCACTTCCCCCTTCTCTTTCTTTCCCACTTGATTTGTTGGGAGACAAGTGAGACGGAAGTTAATAATAGGTGCCTGTTTAAGGAATTTTACTTTAAATCCCTTCATTGCCAGGGGTGTGGTAAAATGATCTGATTAACCATGGGCGTACAGACAAAGGGCTGCTGTTGGGCAGTCTTGGCATTGGGGCTTCTTTTTCTTAAACAGAGGCTAAGTAAGTTAAAAATCCTCAAACATTTAGTAGCTTGAGGTTTAAAAGCATGAGTGTGTGTGTGTGTGTGTGTGTGTGTGTGTGTGTGTGTGTGTGTGTGTGTGTGTGTGATTCCCTTTGGGAACACTGAGTCAAGCGATGGCTTACAGTATTTTCACTGAGCTTGATTTAGAGTGTGCGTCTGTCACGCACAGATATTTGGGAATGAACGTCTCTCTCCGATATTGGGCGGTAGTGTCCTTCCATCTTGCCCATCAGGCACTGGCTTTGTCTGTAGCCTCAGTCCACTCAGACTGCTTGCAGTTTATTTTCAAGGGCTTTTGTCGTGAGTGTACGGGCACGTGGGACATCGTGAGGCGGACGACTTTGTCACTTAATGCTTTCTCTGCTGCTGTTGCAGAAGCACAGACAATGAGGATGCCACCAAAAGGAAAGTCAACCTGGTCTTTGAGAAAATCCAGACTTTAAAGTCTCGAGCAGCAGGGAGTGCGCAAGGCAATAATCAAGTAAGTTATAGCTTTTGTGTTCTGTAGAGCGTGCTTAAGTGAGGCGTGGAGAGGGACTGGTTTCTTCAGCTGCTCTGGACAGCAGTAAGGGGGACATCCCCTCAAGGAGCAAGCAGTGCCTGGCTTTAAGCACATGTTAAATATCCTAACCCAAAATACCCTGAAGCCCCAAACTTCTTCCAGTGTTGACCCAGGACATGTGGAAAATTCAACACTTGAGCACACGCAGGGACACAAACACAACTTCTTTTCACGAAGAAAGCTGTTAAAACCATTGTATCAAATCCCCTCTGGACCCTGTGTATTAGAAATTTATGCCATTTAAATGAATTTTACATTTCTACTTGTGTTCATAAAGTATCTCATTATATCCATGCAGATATTCCAATCCCAAAATAATAACCCCATGACCAGATAAGAAGCATAGAGAATATTTTTATGCATCAGTTAAATGATCAGTTAGAAGAGCACTAGCACTTAGCGTGCCTGTGACTATGCTGTGAGTGTGAGGGTGGTGGTGGAGGGTGTGTGTGTGTGTGTGTGTGTGTGTGTGTGTGTGTGTAATACAGGACTGTGATTCTGACTTGGGAACTTAAAACTACAATTTACTTATATACAGTTTTCAGGAGCCGTACCTATTTTTTCTTCCCCTTTAAAAAAAATTTGTTGGCAGCTGGGCGTTGGTGGCGCACGCCTTTAATCTCAGCACTCCGGAGGCAGAGGCAAGCAGATCTCTGTGAGTTCGAGACCAACCTGGTCTACAAAGCTACACAGAGAAGCCCTGTCTAGAAAAATAAAAAACAAAAGAAAATTTATTGGCAATTTCTTATGCACATATAATGAATTTTAGTTGTTTTTCTCACATAATTCTCCTCTCTGGTAGTGCTTGTTGGAGACAGGGTCTCACTGTGTCGACCAGTCTGGCCTCAGACTCACAGGTCCGTCAAATCTCTCATATTTCTTCACATTAATTTAATATCTTTTGATGGAGCATTTAAATTTAAATCACCACTACTATTCCTGCCTTCTGTTTACTTGCACACTCTTGGAAGGACACAGCCTTTGGACTTGACATTAAGATTGTCATTATGGATTATGGACTTGGAGCAGTCAGCCGGAACTGGGGAAGTCAGTGTGTGCCTTCTGCAAATAAGATGTTTAAGGTCAAAGTGTTCTTTGTAGGAAGGCAGGAGGCAAGATAGTCTAAGTTAGAAGAATTGCACAGACAGTATTAAGAATCATAAGTTTGCCATGTTTATGTGTCTTGAAGTAATTTTATGTAGTTACTACACGAAGCCAGAACTTGGGGGAGAGCTAGATAGGACATTTCCCCTCTAGGCTACCATGAAAGGCATTTTTATTTTCTTTTGAGACAGGATCTCATGTAGCTAAAGCTGGCCTTGAACTTGTGATTCTCTTGCCTCCAGCTCATGAGTGCTGTGGTTACAGCTGTGTACTACCATACCTATTTGTGTGGTGCTGGGGATGGAACCCAGGGCTCCATGTGTGCCTGGCAAGTGCCCTCAGACAGACACAGATACTCAACTCGTATTGCACGAGTTCATTGCTTTTGCTGCTTTTAGAGAGAGGTAAGATTAGAGAGAGACCAGTTAAGAAGTCCTGCTGGCTTGAGGAGGACAGGATGAGATCTCTGGAACCATGCACCATGTCCCCCTCTCTCCTTCTTATGTTCTGAATTTGATCCTTTGCTGGCGAGTATGTTCAGTGATTCCCTAGGGGAGAATGTTAGAACCTTTTCTTTATGGACTGAGACCATCGTGGAAACTGCAAAGCGGATAGAGTTTTGTTTATTCCTTTCCCTTCCCTTCCCTTCCCTTCCCTTCCCTCCCCTCCCCTCCCCTCCCTCCCCTCCCCTTCCCTCCCCTTCCCTTTCTTTCTCCTCCCCGCCGTCTTTCCTGGTTCCCTCCTCCCCCTTTTGTATGTGATTTGTCTTGCTGGGTTGGATTTAGGTTCCGAGATGGACGTCCTCGTTGCACGGGAAGACTTGGCACTTCAGTGCTTTTGCAATGGGGCTCTCGTCCCCGTCCTCACAGTCTGTGAGAAGTGCCTCTTTCAGGTTTATGATACACAACCCACACCTGGATCAGCGACTTAGGAGCCTTGACTCTGCTTCTTACAGCTTAGATTTCTGCTTTTATCGCTTGGCCTCACCACTTAACTGTAGGATTTTAGCCAATTTCTCTGGAGAGCTTCATCCTGTTATCACTTCCATGGTAGAAAAGAAACAAGAGCCCTTGATATTCGCACTCATATCAGACTCCATACCTCCTAACGGCTGTTTAATCTGGCCCCTCTTCTTGGTGGGAATGCAAGGACTAAAGGAGCAAGCCAATTTAGCCCAAGTGTTTATTTGCACTTGCTGACAGGCCTGTGCTGAGGGTGGAGGTGAAAGTCTGCCTGGCAGTCGGGAGTATTATCCTCCAGAGAGAGGGGGGTTTGGAGATGGAAGGTCTGGCTGTGCAGACATGCAGGTTCCTGGAGAATGTCGCACAACAGGTGTTTCTCCAACAGATACTTTTATGCTGGTTTACTGGGGTGGAACTTAAAGTAAATTTCGAGAATCATAACTGTGTAGTTCTCTGTATTTTTATCACAGATTTGCATCTGTGCAAATCCTACTCAAATCACAGACAGAGTACTCCCTTCATTCAGAAGTTTCCTGAATGTTCTTTCCCTGTCAGTCATGTCCCCTCTTTCTTGAGGGAATCATTTTGTGACACCTATCACCTAGATTAGTTTTACTTAAATTTCATATAAATAGTCACCTGGTTACTGTCTGTCCTGCTTTATTTTATTTCTTCAATATTGTATTAGTGAAGTTGATTATTACATATTGAGTTGTGTGTGTGTGTGTGTGTGTGTGTGTGTATTAGTGTATTTCTGATGAATATTTCCAGCTTGGGACTCTTAACATGAAGCTACAGTAGACATTGAACATTATTGTTCATGCTCTTTTTTTTTTAATGAACACGCACTCATGTCTCTGGTATATCATAAGTAGGAGTGAACTTCTATGCCATAAATTAAGCAGAAGTTTTGCTGTGCATGTTTCAGGAGCGGTGGAGCAATCAGCGTTCCTCCCAGTGGTGCACATGAGGCCCAGACTCTAGGCGCTCTGCTCTGTTGCATGGCCTCTGTCTCTTCCACTGTCAGGTCCATACAGATCTGCACTGTACCTTTAGGCTCTCAGATCTGTCCGTCTTCCGACCTTATCCCTTCCCTCTTTTCTTTAAGTTGGCTATTCTAAGTCTCTCACCCTTCCATACAGATGCTAGATTTTCCAGATGTGGCTGGAGAGATGGCTCAGGAGTTAAGAGTGGGCTCTTGTAGAGGTCCTGAGCTTTGTTCTTAGCACCCAGGTCGTGTGGTTCACACGGTGACTCCAGCTCCCGTGAATCAGACACCTGTAAGCACCTGCACACACTTGCACACATGTGCATCACATACACACACACACACACACACACTTGGATTAAAATCATAATAGTAACTCTTTAAGAAAAGGCAAGGAGAGGGGAGAGCAAAGCTGGGGCTGGCCCTGGATATGCGTGTCACTTTGTTCAGGTTGCCGTCTTCATGCGTCTGGTCCCCAGCACGAGCATGAGCCTTCTCCCCGTTTATCTGTGTCCTCTTCTCCCGGGTCTCACACATCTTTCCCTTCGGTTTGTTCACTTTCCAGTTACGTCCATCCCTTTTGTGCTTCTGTGTTCTTCTGTTCCAGGGAGCTGTTCTGTCGTGTTGTCTTTTCTGCTGGCAGTGGGCGCTCTCAGTGTTTGCTCAGACTGGCTTTAGTTCACTCTTGTGCTGGGGGCTCTTCAGTTCAGGGAGCATTGTTTTATCTGATCACTTCACAGAGGCATTCTGGCCCCCATGGCTCCCTGGAAGGCAGGCAGCATTCTTAGCATCGTTCTGCGGAAAGCGACACATCCCTCCGCAGCTGCTTTGAGTATTTGATCCTCTGTTGTTTTTTTTTTTTTTAGAAGTTTTGAGTGTGATACACCTGAATGTGTTTGTTTTGTTGTTGTTGTTGTTTAACCTTGAATTCTTCATGGTTTTTCTGGCACTCATCAGCTCTCAAATGCCCTGGTCATTTGTTTTTGAATGTTTCTTTCACATTCTGTTTTCCTTATATTCCAGTTGTATGTATTTTACTTTTTTAATGGTCTGTTCTGTGTGTGTTTATGTGTGGGTTCTGCCTGGTTTCATTAGGCATATCATATACTCTGGATATTCTCTCTCTCTCTCTCTCTCTCTCTCTCTCTCTCTCTCTCTCTCTCTCTCTCTCTCTCTCTCTCTCTCTCTCTTTCTCTCTCTCTCTCTACTCTAGACCAGGCTGGCCTCAGACTCACTGGGATCTGCCTGCCTCTGCCTCCCGAGTACTGGGATTAAAGGTTTGTGCTTTTCTATTACTGTTTCAAATTTATTAATTTTGTTGACTGGTTCTATCTCTTTTAAGGTTAAAGGCTTATCTTTTGAATGTCCTGAAAATGTCCTCATCATTCTTTGAAAGTGGTTATTTTTCTTCTCATATGTGTGTTTGTGGCGTACATATGCACATGAATGCATGTGTGCGGAGGCCTGAAGTTATAGAGACTCTTCCTGGAGCCTTCTTCAACCGTAATCTAAGGAGCAAGTCTCTCATCAAACCCAGAACTCACTGATTTGGCTCATTTTATAGTTAACTTGCTCCAGGCATCATGTTACTTTCGCAGGCTGGGGTCAGAGCTGAGCCACCACACTGGCCTGGCACCTATGTGGGTTCTGGGGATCTATATTGGGCCCTCTAGCTTGCCCAGACAATCATTAACTGTGAGCCATCTCCCCAGGGCCCTAGGGAGCACCAGTCTTTTAAGAGCCACCTAATGATTTCTTCAATTTCAGATATCGTGTTGCTATTTGACCATGTTTCTAGATTCTAACCGCCACTGGGAAACCATCAGTTTTTTCCCTGCTGCTTTAACCATCCAGCGTTTTCTAATTGTATGCTGGGTAGTGGATGACAACTTACACATGCACTGGATTGTCTCATCTTCCACCAAAGGGAGTTGAATTTTCTCCTGAGAGCTAGATCAAATGTGGGTCACCTTCATTCTGTAGGTGCTGCTGCTTTTGGCTTTGCTGAGCGGGAGTCTCATTAGGTATTCACCTTCACTCCCATGGCAGGACCTACGTCCCTTCTCAGATCTCAAAAGAATGCGAAGATTTCAACCAAGCTTAGGCTATGTTGACTAGTTAGGACTCTAGTGTATTCTTGGCTCAGCACAACCTGTGGTGTTTGGTTGGCTTCTTTGCCTCTTAGACACTCTTTCCTAATAAACTTTTGGAATCTTGCTTTGCTTATAATACAACGTAGGACTCATCTCAGAAACCAAAAAGGCATGTTTTTTTTTAAATAGTTTTTTAAAAATAGCTTTTCCTGTGGTGTTCTTACCTCCTAATACCCTTATCCCAAGGTTGGTCTTTTGCTTATGGTATTTACTTTCCTAGATGCTTTTTTAATTCAACATGAGTTACTCATCCCATTTGTCTGTGCTCTTTTTCCTCTTCTATTGAAGTAATAAATTACTCTTGTTGGTTTTGTTTTGAGGTGATGGGGATTGAGCACTGGGTCTCACACATGCTAGGCAGTTACATGTAGTCTTGAGTTATACCCCAGCCTAATAAACTGTATGTATTTAGAGGTATTTTACACTCAGAGCAGAATTGATAGAAAGGACAGGAGTTTCCCTTACCCTACTGTGATCCTCTGGTCCATTTGTTAGTGTGGGTAGATATTGACACACGATTAGCACCTGAATCCCATGGTTCACTCTGGGATTTGCTCTTGGTAGTGTGCATTGTATTGGCGGGTGGGGGTGATGTGTGTGTGTGCGCGCCCCGCGCGCGAGTGCGTGCATATATGTGGAAGCCAGAGGTCAACACTGGATGCTTTCTTCAATTGCTCTCCACCTTATTTTTTCCCCTCAAATTCCATCACTGGGAAGGCAGAGAAAGGAAGATCTGAAGACTCACTGGCCCCCGGGCCTGCTCTATGTAGCCAGCCCCAGGCCGGTGAGAGAGCATGGTTCTTTTGTTTTGTTTTGTTTTGTTTTTAAAGGTGCCTCAGAGGCAACACCTGAGGTTGTCTGGCTTCCACACGCACACACAAGCAGGTAGACACATGTTCTAAATTTAGTACCTTAATATTTCATAATATGTTTGAAAGAGGTCCAATAAATCTGCCGCCTTCCTCAAGTGTGAGTCATGTTGGAAATCTGGTGAAAGCCCCGGATGAAAGATGTGAAGTAGATGGTGAGGGCGCGGCACCGTTAACTCTGGGGGAGGGCTCTGCGTGACTGAGGCTTGCAATGGTCAGTGCTGTGTGGCATCCATCACATCCCGGATGTTACCGTGGGAGGGGAATTCAAGCAAAGCATCCCAAGCATTTAACTGTGGATATCTTTGGAATTAATTGCAGGCTTCGAAGTTTTCCTCCGAAGTCAAAGACCTATTGGAGCAGAAGAACAAATTGATGTTAGAAGTGTCTGAACTACAGAGGCAGCTGCAGCTGGAGATGAAGGTATCAGGCTCTTACATTTTTCCCATTTCTGTCTTGGTTGATAAAGGATTTTTAGAACACATTGGGATGTCCAGGTGAGGTGAAAGTCAAAAAACTCCCCACCCCCAAAAGAAACATTCCTGTCATCCCTGAGCACATTCCTTCGAATTTGGCGGCTGCTAGCCAAAGCATTTTTTAAAGCAACTGGATCACACAGAAATGGTTTGCTTTGAGCGAAAGAAATACTGTGGGAGACAGGCAGACTGATGGGAACTAAGTGATTGCTCCTGTGGAAAGAAGTAAATGGAAGTAATAGAAACAGCAAAATGAGGTCTAGCTGTGTTTGTGTTTTTCTTTTAAAAGTGTTCAACTCACTAAACATGAATATTTCATATTCTTTCTGGAACTTCTGATCCTTAATTACATGATTTGATTAAGTTGTTTAATAACAAAGGGACAGTGCATGGAGTCCATTAGTGTCCACAAAGGGGCTTCTGGGCTGGGGATGTAGCTTATTTGGTGAAGAGCTTGCTCAGTGCCCATAAAAACCTGGGTTCCAGCCCCAGCCCCTCATAACCCAGGCATGTTAGTGCACCCCTGTCTTGCCAGCACTTCGGAGGTGAAGGCAAGAAAATCAGGGGTTCAAGGTCATCCTTGGCTACATAGCCAGTTTGCTGTTAGTCTGAGCTACGTGAGACCCTGTCACAGACGGACAGACAGACAGACGCATGGAGGGTGGGGGTGGTGTTTCAGTATTGATAGACAACAGGTATTTTTAAATCGTCCTGATTCCTGTTAGAACCATCAGAATGTTAAGGAGGAGAGAGAGAGGATGCGAGAGGACTTAGACGAGTTACGAGGCCGGCACCAGAGGCAAGTGGAGGAGACCGCCACCCTGCGGCGACGGCTGGAGGAAAGCGAAGGAGAGCTGCGGAAGAACTTGGAAGAGTGAGTGCCTTGCTGGAGCCCCTGCCGTCCTGAACTCAACCTTCTGTCCTTTTCACACCTCTCAGCTTCCAAGTGTTTGTCAAGGCCACTCCCCTTCCCTTCCTTTTCCCCCTCTTACAAAATTGTGCAGCTGGAGCTATAACAGGGAGGCTAATAATTATTAAACCCTTTGTGTGTCTTGAGTGTGCCTTACAAAGCTTCCACCACAACAGGGGACCTTCTGGCAGGTGAGTGAGAAGCAGGGGTCCCCCAGGGGTGACATGTGATGACTAAGATTTCTACTAGGAGCCCGCAGCATGATATCTAATGACTAAGGTTTCCAGAAGCCTGGGTACAGCCTCCCAAGTGCATTAGCCTGTGGGGCTCACAGTCTCCCAGTCTGAGCACTCCAGAATGGGTCGGTCTATGTTATGTGTACTCACACTTCTGCAAAGCCCGCAGAGAGGAAAGGTAACTCCAAGACCCCACCTGCCCTATTATCCTGTGAAACTTGGTGGCAAAGGAATCTAAAATCAAGGTCTGGTTCCCTGTCTAGAAACAGCTTTGCAAACATACCCAGAGATGTATTTTTCTAATCGCCTAGGTGCTTGTCAGTTTAGTCAAATTGACAATCAAGATTGACCATAGACATTAACTTGATGGGTCTCTTGTTTCGTAGTATTGGCTGGTTCTGCTTGGTTTTAGGCACTTCTTCATAGTCTGTGTCCAAATTCTAGTACTTCATGGTCTCTTTCTGGTAGAAAATATCCCTGCAAATCTGTCCCATTTTGTTGGTTTGAGTTCTCATCTAACATCTTGGCCAGATTAGACCATAGTGCTGAAGAGGCTTCTTGGGGCTGCAGGGGACCATGTGACAGCCTGAAAGTGAGGACTGCAGATCCCAGGGGCTTCTCTGATGGACTTCTCCCTGTCCCGTTAGGCTGTTCCAGGTGAAAATGGAGCGGGAACAGCACCAGACAGAGATTCGAGACCTGCAGGATCAGCTGTCAGAGATGCATGACGAACTGGACAGTACCAAGCAGGCCGAGGACAGGGAGAAAGGAGCGTTGATCGAGGTGAGGGGCTGGGGACCGGGTGTCACCCCACCTGCCTGGGAGGGCAGGGATTCGGGAACTGGATGCTACAAGCTGCTTTCTGTTGTGTGCGTTTACTCTACCCGTTTCTGCCTTTAGATTCTGTGAGTTCGTCATTGTCTTAGGAAAGCTTTCAATCATTATGAACATAGGAAGGGTAGCATGGCAGGACTGGGGAGTTGGCTCAGTTGATGTTGGCTGGGAAAACATGATGAGGAGCTGAGGTTAATCCCCAGAACCCACGCAAAAAAAAAAAAAAAAAAAAAAAAAAAAAAGAGTAGCTTAACTTGTAATCCTAGCGCAGGAGCAGTAGAGAGGGACAGATCCCAGGGAGGCCAGCAACCTAGCCTATTCAGTGAACCCCTAGCCCAAAGACCCTGTGTCACAAAACAAGGCAGAAGGGATCTGAGGAATGATATCACAGGTGACTTCTGGCCTATACCCCCCACTTACACATACTCACATATTTTTCTCTCTCACACCCTTATACACATATAAACACACACTCTTACACACTCTCAGATGGTCTCAAACACACATGCTCACACTCATATACTCACACATATAAATACACACTCACATGCTTTCATAGATACACACACGGTCATACTCATCACATATACTCACATATTCATACATAGAAAATAGTATATTAGCATTCACTAGTTCTCAACCCAGATCGAGGAGTTGTCAATGGTTTGTCATATTCCTACCTTAATTTTTCTGCTCATCTATTCATCTATTTTGTGTGTCTGAACTATTTTGAAGTAAATTACAGGTAAGATTATGTTTTACTTTTTTAGGGAACTTTCTGACATAGTTACATGTCACTATAGTAACTAACACATTTATGGTTTCTATAACATGCATGCAATGAATATGAATACTCAACTCTAATTGTCTCTGAGTCTATTTACAGTTGATGTAGTGAGTTAAAGGCCATCCTGGGATATGTGAGCTCCTCCCTAAAACAAAATTTTCCCTAAGGATAAATTCCCAGAAATGATGTCAGTGGAGAGCTTATGCTTTCAGAGGCCCTTCACCCTGAAGTCCAGGGGACAGAAGACGTTCATGTAGTTCGTGCTGCCATGCCTGAGTCAGGTGGTGGTCGGTGCTGCCATGCCCGGGGTCATGTAATTCACATTGCCATGCCCTGGACTGTGTCCATCCTCTGCTCTCTCCGTCCACTCCACCTTGCTCTGGTTTTACATAATTCCCTTTAACACAGTCACGTGTCATCTGTCATCTTTGCTTCTTCCCCCATTTCATTCTGAATGACAGAGCAAAAGAATAATTTTCCTACTTACATTATTTTTTGAGAAGTTACCACATTTTTCTAAAATGAAGTGATTCCAAGATGACCTGTGTGTTATTTATTTTATCTTTCTTTCTTTCCTTGAGGTGGGGTCTCACGTAGCTCAGACGATGTAGCTGAGGATGCCCTTGTGCTTCTGGTCCTCCTGCCTCCATCCCCCCAGTGCGGGCTCGCTGGTGGGTCCCTCCACTCCCACTTTATGTTGTGCGGAGGATTAGGCCCTGGGCTTCATGCACGCTGGACAAGTACTCCACCACTTAAGCCACACCCCCAGCCCACACCCCCAGCCCAGGACAAGCACTCCACCACCTGAGCCACACCCCCAGCCCAGGACAAGCACTCCACCACCTGAGCCACACCCCCAGCCCACACCCCCAGCCCAGGACAAGCACTCCACCACCTGAGCCACACCCCCAGCCCAGGACAAGCACTCCACCACCTGAGCCACACCCCCAGCCCAGGCCTTCAGCTCTTTAAGCACAACCTGTTGACTGTTTGTCTGAACTTGATTCAGTGATAAGTTTGTAGGTTTGTTTGTATTGGTGGGGGATGAAGACAAGGACTCTGGCTTTGGTGATGTGTGCAGGCCACACCTGGAATGGGAACAGAGCACATCTCTTCTTAAACGTCTTGCAGTTAGGGTCCTAGTTGTTTGCCACTCTCCTGACATGACCTATGTCATTTGCAGGAGGAGGGAGGTGGAGAGTCATTGTTAGCCATTATGTCAATTATGTGTTTTGTCTTGTCCTGGGGAAATGCCTTATTGCTTTCCTTTGACTTTCTAGGAACTTTTTACAACGCCTCCAACAGTTTCCACAGCACTAATAAAGAAGATCCCATCTCCCAGTCACTTTCAATTGTTCTTTGTATCTTAGTAAGATGTAGCCTGGAGAAATTTGATAACAGATTATAGTTGGGGCCAAGTTTTCCATGGCTTCTGCCTGAGAACTGAGGACATTGAATCTACCAACTTTCCAATGTTTGAAAATGTTGGTGCCTGCATGCTGGGTGAGCCTGTGTAGCAGTCCAGACACACCATGAAACCCCTCTCTTCTTACCAAGGTGCTGGCGACTGAAGCCACGGCCCTGGGCATGCTAGGGACATGCTGTGGTACTGGCTCCATCCCAGCCCAGAAATTCACCACTTTTTGTTAAACAGTATTAAGCCTCTACATAGAATCGGCAAAATAATATTGGGGGTGAGGGGGAAGCCAGACAGAGCGACACATGTTTTTAATGCCAGCACTCGAGAGGCAGATGCAGGGGGGTCTTTGTGAGTTAGAGGGTAGCCTGGTCTACATAGTGAGTCCCAAAGCAGCCAGACTTACATACTGAGACTCTGTGTTAAAAAAAAAGGAAAGCATAGCATAGAATATTTGTTTTTTTAGGATTTATTATTTGTTGAATTCCTGGGGTCTAGGAACCTTTTTTTTTTAAAGTCAGGGTCTCTCTTTTATAATTTAGACTGAACTAAAACTCTTAACTCACTATGCAGTCAAGGGTGACCTTGAAGTTCTGATCCTCCTGTCTCCACCTCTTACATCCTGGGATGTAGATGTGTTCTCTGCCTTTTTTTTTTTCTTTTTTTAAATGTGAGGCTGAGGCTAGAACCCAGGGTCTCATGCATCTGAGGCAAGAGCTCTACCAAATGAACTACATCCCCAGGACCTGAGAACTACATATTTTTTTTAATTAAAAAAACTTATTTTTTTGTGTGTGTGTGTGGGTGTGATCATGTGATATGTGTGTATAACGTGTGGGTTCTAGAAGGAAACCTCAATTGTTTTTCAAATGTCAGCCCTACCTGGATATCTGAGATGAACGTAGGCTGGCAAGGTGTCTGGCCAGGGATCCCCAGGAATACCTGTTTCTGTCTCCCCCGAGCTGGGATTGAATTCACTTGTCACAGGGCCTGACCTTTTTTTTTTTTTAAGCACATGTGTCCTGGTGGTAGCAAGGCGTGTACTTCACTCAGCTGGCTCCCCATGCCCAGATGTGTGATCTTGGAAGTGTGTCAGCGTCTTAGAACTCCTGACTTTCTCATTTGTGAATGGATCTTGGTCTCTTTGAATAACCATTTGTTTGTATCTTTAGGAATAGTATTATTCTCATGCAGTAAGTGCCAAACACAATCAACCTTTCTAGATTGTATTTTACCTGCTCCCCACATACACTGGAGTTTTCTGTTTTGTTGTATTTAAAAATCTTTATTGCACTTATTTATTTTGTGGGTGTGTGTATGGGGGTGCCCTTGTCGCTGGATGTCTGAGGACAACTTGTGGGAGTCAGTTCTCTGCTCCTACCACACAGGTCCTGAGGACCATTCTCTGTGCTTAGGCTTAGGAGCCAGCACCTTAGCTGCTGAGTCAGCTCACCGACCCAACTCTAGGTGTGGATTGGCTGGTTCCTTGTCAAATGTGGCCTCTCTTGACTGCATGAAGGTTTGGAAATCAGTGAGTCTTAAGTAGCCCAATTTCCCCTTGTTTTCTTTGATTGTAGTCTCCAGAGAGGAGCATTTCTCTCTGTTGTAGGATTGTTGATATTTTCCTGCTTTCCTCTCTCTTCATTTGATACAATTAAGCCTTCAGACTGAAGTGAAGTTTTGGAAACCCTATGTGCCTGTTGGTCTCCCTTCTGGAAACTACTGTGTGATATGGCAAGGTCTAATCTGATTGGATTCATGCAGCATGGTCCACTTAAGTGACAATCCCGACCACAGATAACACCCTGTCAGTGGAGAATGGACTGCAAAACCCTGGGTCCTTGACACGCCTTGGCGGCAGCACAAACACAGATATGTCCCACAGGAGATAAGGGTGGGGAGAGGAACTGCCCTATCTAAGGACAGCTGAAAACTCAGAAGAAAAGCAGGAAGGGGCCACCGATGATGCTGGCAGGAGGCGCCATCAAGTCCTGGGGAGGTCGCCAACAGCAAGAGTGATGGGCTAGTTCTGCTCCTCTTCACAAAGAGATGGGCAGGGACCCCAAGTGGTGCCTTTACTGAGCATTGGGACAGGCTAGATCTTGGGGATGGATCTCCAGGTTTCACTGGAGCTCGTCGATGCCTGCTGGTGGTGTTCTGGCAGGGCCGGAGTTTGGCCTGTGCAGTGACCGCTTGCCTGTTTGCCTGATTTGCTCATCCTGGAGGAAAGGAAAGACTTCCCTTGTCAGTTGTTTATGAATGAAGCTCATTACTTAGGGTTCATGATATGGCCCAGTGGGTAAAGGCACTGGCTGAGTAGCCTGCTGGCCTGAGTTCATGGAGTAAAGATGGAAGGAGAGAACTGATTCCTCAAATAGTCCTCTGATTTCCACACATGCTACAGCACTCCCTGACCCTCCCTCCCTCCCTCTCTCCCTCCATTCCCTCCCTCCATTCCCTCCCTCCCTCCTTCCATTCCCTCCCTCCATTCCCTCCCTCCATTCCCTCCCTCCTCCCTTCCTCCCTCCCTCCCTCCCTCCCTCCCTCCATTCCCTCTTTCCCTCCCTCCCTCCTTCCCTCCCTCCATTCCTTCCCTCCCTCCCTTCATTCCCTCCCTCCATTCCCTCCCTCCCTTCATTCCCTCCCTCCCTCCATTCCCTCCCTCCATTTCCTCCCTCCCTCCATTCCCTCCCTCCCTCCATTCCCTCCCTCCATTCCTTCCCTCCCTCCCTTCATTCCCTCCCTCCATTCCCTCCCTCCCTCCCTTCCCTCTCTCCCTCCAGTGCTCTCTTTCACTCATTCACATGCACACTCATACATCATCAATTTAAAATAAGTGATCTAAAGGTTTTTCTTCCCCCAGCAGTGACACACCTCTTGAATGACAAGTAGTGTGTCCTCTTGGGGCTCAGCTGCAGCTACTGCTCTGAATTCCCAGGGGTGCAGGAGAAGACTATGGTGTGTTTGTAGTCAGAGGCATCCTGAAGGGAGAGCTGGTAGAACCCTGACTTCTGGAGGCTCCCTCCAAAAGGAACAGGGTGACTTATTCATACCCAGAACAGGCAGTGCCGCTAATGCTTGACAGTCAGAAATGTCAACAATTAGATGTATGTTTTTTCTAGAAGCTAGGGATATAACACACACACACACACACACACACACACACACACACACACACACACACACACACACACACACAATCATATAAAGATATAAGAGAGAGCACAGGCCGGGGTGGTGGCTCAGTTGGTAGAGTGATTGCTTAACTGTCACAAAAGCCCTGGCTTCCACCCCAGCACTGTATAAAACAGCTATGGTGACATTTGCCTTTAATCCCAGCACCCAGGAGCATCAAAAGTTCAAGGTCACACTGTATTGGGAGTTTGAGGCCAGCCTGGCATACACGAAACCTTGCCTGAAACAAACAAAACAAGCACAAAGAAAACTCACAACACATAGACTGCAGAGTTAAGAGTGCAGACAGAGGAAGGGTGGGAATAGTGACTGTTCCTCAGGAAGACTTCTCAGAGGAGGCCACATTGTGTCTGGATCTTCAATGTTCCCAAAAGGCAGAGAGAGAGAGAGGGAAGGAGGTGGTACCATGGAGTCTGCTTCCGGGAGCCCTGCTGTGTGGTCAGGTAGACAGCAAAGGGGACAAGGAGCTAACGTGGACAGAGGAAAGGGAGGATCCAGATGTTACAGAACTGATTTATGCCTGCAAAGGCCAGGGGTGAGGGAAGTCACAGTTGCTACCTTGTTCCTGCACTTGGCGCTTCAGGAACAGGAGGTACCACTGAGAGATCCAGGGCAAGGACCCCGGGAGGAAGGCTCTTGGTAGAGTTGCCCAAAGCTGTACTTAATCTCAGGTTTGTGTGGAACATGTGACATTCATGGCTGTCATGCCACCAGAGTGTGCTGGTGCCAGGAAAAGATGAGAGGCAAGCCAGCAAATATTGGGAAAAAGTCAAGGAGCTTTCCAAAGGAAAGTAAAGAATGCAAAATTGCATTCTTAGATACAGCTTAGCTTTTGGAAGGGAGAGAAGCCAGACATGATCCTGGTAGAGAAAGTGGCTTCAGGGAAGGACCTGTCCTGTGATTTCCAGGGAGAGGAGACTCTTAAAGGAGACGGGGGAGGCTCCAAGATGAATCAAGGAAATGGTACTAGACAAAGACTAGGGATAGGGAGCTGAGGGGGTGTAGTGGCTAATTTTAACTATCCATGTGACAAATTTAGCATGACTTGGGGAAGATCTTAATTGAGGCATTGTCTAGATCAGATTGTTCTGAGGGCATGTTTGTCGGGATTACGTTGAGTTTTTAATTGAGTTGGGAAGACCCACCATGGCTTGGGCAGCATCATTTCATGGACTGGGCCCTGAATTGTATAATAGAGAAGAAAGCTAACTGAGACGGCAAGCAGGCGGCATGGGGGCATTCATCACTCTCTTCTGTTGACCAAAGACGGGGTATGATTAGCTACCTTGATTTCCTCCCTTTCCATCCTCTCATTAATGGGCTATAAACTGGGAATCGTAAGTCAGTCAGCCTTTCCCTCTTCTAAGTGGCTTTGGGTGGGGTGTTTTGCCACAGCAACGGAAATGAAACCGGGAGAGGAGGACACTGTATGCTCTTGTCTTGGTAGAGGAGGCACAGAAGGCACATAGTCAGTGACGAAGGGGAGGTGTGAGCCCGTGAACTGAGATCATGCTTTGAAGGAGTTTGGTGGGAAAGGTTACAGCCAAGATTCCAGAAAACGGGAAGGAACCAGGCCTTAAGACACAGGGCAGCTGGCAGTACTTCAGTAGACTGCATCGGGTGGAAGGAAAGCCTGGTGCACGGTGAGGATCCGAGGTGTGGGAAGTCCTGGTTACCAAGGGATCCAGAACCAAAGAAGGCTGAGCCTTTGGCAGGACTTTCTTGGGGGGATGTGGGTTGAAATGGAACTTTTGGCCTCAGTTTTGTGACTTTTTGTGAAGAAGGGGAAAATGTGAGTGCCGTGCTCTCCTCAGGCAAGTCGAGATAGGAAAAGAGTTGTCCTGAGCTCTAGGAACATGAATGGGGTTGAACCATGTGCGCCATCCTGAAGGCTGGGTAGCAGATGAGGCAGCGGGACAGCTCAGCTTCAGAGCAACAGTAGTACGTAAGGGCTATCTATAGCAGGCATGCTGGGCCGTGGCACTGACGTGAAATGAGTTACAAAAGCAAACATGGCAGGCTGGGGATATTGGGTAGACTGCTTGCCTAGTGTGTCTGAGGCCTTGGGTTCAAGCCCCAGAATCACATCAACCAGTTGGTGCTGGTGCACAGCTGTAATCCAGCTCTTGGAAGGAGGAGGCAGGAGGACTTAGAAGGTCAGGGTCATCCTTAGCTCTGTAGCAAGTTTGGGGCCATCCTAGGCTATATGAGAACCTGTCAAACACAAGAAAAATGAAACAAGAAAAGAATTTCTCCCAAAGGTGTGACAGTGAACTCAATCACATTACATCTCAAAGAAACCAAGTCAGGAAGCCCCAAGGGAATGATGGCCTCTGAGAAGTGCAAATTGTCTCCAAAGGTGTGAGGCTCAGGAAGGAGAGTGGGCAGGGCAGGCCAGGTGGTGGTAAACCTGATGGTCAGTCTTGAGGGGCAAATGCTGGACCACTGTTAAAGGTGTCTGTTCCTTACCTCTGTGATTATGTCTCTGCCCAGGAGCTCTTGCAGGCCAAACGGGACCTTCAGGATCTGCTCATTGCCAAAGAGGAGCAGGAAGATCTCTTGAGAAAGCGGGAGCGTGAACTGACTGCCTTGAAGGGTGCCTTGAAGGAGGAGGTCTCCAGCCATGACCAGGAGATGGACAGGCTGAAGGGACAGTACGATGCTGAGCTGCAGGCCCTTAGGGAGAGCGTGGAGGAGGCAACCAAGGTGAGCTCACATTCATAGAGGGTGTCAAGATGTGGCCAGACGAGAGGCCGTGCCCTCTCTCCTTGGCTTTGTCTCTGACGATGGTGTTGGCAAGGGATAACTTGATGGTTTCACTTCTGTTCCTTTTGAGTCTATCAGTTTGAAAAGACTAAAATGCTTTTTGCAAGAGGTGAGATTTTTAAAGCCCTGAGTGGACTCAGCTTCTGCAGGCTTTGTGGAGTATGGGAGGGTGCTCAAGGCTCAAGTCCTAAGGTTCCATGTGACTTTTCTCGTGTGCAGAACTGCAGATAGGACCTGGATTTCTGGAGCCCTTTATCCCACCCCGGCTGCTTCCTTTGGGCTTTGTTCAGTCTTCCGTTAGATAATTCATGTTCTTTTCTCAGCAGAGTTGAAAAAGGACTGGCCAAATTGCCCCAACTCTCCCAAGATAAGTTTTCCTCTTCATTGAATTCTTGGCTCATAAATGATTGTAAATTGTGTGGAAGTCTTTGAGTGCAGGGTGCACGTTGGCTGGTGAAGGGAAAATGCTTTGAAATGCCTTGCCATCTTTAGGAAAGGAGAGTTACGGAGGGTACATTTTTCAGGGTCTGAAACAAAGGGCGAAAGTGCTGGAGAGAGCTCTTCGTACCATTTAGTCTGCAGTGATGACAGTGGCAGCTCCCCACCCCCACCCTCTAAGCCCTATGGTGGTTCACTGATTCTCAATGATGTCATGATAATTGGTAATGACAAGAAGTGAAAGATAGGTCTGTTTGTTGTTACAACAGGGAAGTCTGGGAAACTGGCTGTTTGGAGGTTATTATAGCTTTGAGATACATAAAAGACCTCTTGTTTGTTTATAGTCCTGCCCCACCTCACCCCCACCCTTTAGATTTGAATTAATTTGAGGGGACAGATAGAACAGACTTAGACATCCCTGAGTTGACTCAAGTGGTTTACCTTTAAATACACTGTTTCTTTATCACCCTTAGAGCTTGCATTAAAGTACAAGTCTAATGTGGAATATGTTGGGAGACTCATTTAGGGCTACTTAGGGAGCAATGTTTGGGTTTATGTTTGTAGTTCTTTGGCTAGAAGATGAATCAAACTTGTACCACATGTAGAATGGAAACCATTTAAGCTTCTAGAACTGGTGGCACAGTTGTGTAAGTAGGGAAGAGAAACATGGCAGGTGGGAGGATCTATCTTTGTTGTGTGGGGTTGAGGATCGTCAGCAAAGACCTAGGCTATTGCATTGTGACTCTTCTGCTCACAGAATTTTTGTTATAGTAATTCACAAATAGCTAGTGGGTGGAAATGTGGCTCAGTGGTTCAGAGTGTTTGCTTCTCTTGTAGAGGACCTGAGTTTGATTCCCAGCACCCACATGGTGGCTCACTCATCCATAATTCCATTTCCAGGGAGTTCAGTGACCCCTTCTGACCTTCACAGGCATCAGGCACTTAGTGTGATTACATAAAGACAAAACATTCATACACATAAAATAAATCTTTAGAAAAGATAATGAGGTGGACTCATGTCAGTCTGTGAAATAAAGAGAAGTTGGTTGAGACGTCATTTCTACCAAAGAATGTAGGAAGCTAACCCAAAGAGAATTCCTCCACACCTTGTGTGGCCTGACCTGAGCTCTTTGTCCCAGACCATAGTCTATATCACCATCAGTATCTTTCCCCAGAAAACAGTAATTTCCAATTGGTCTTTGCTTAAATATTTGCCTGGCACTCCTTTGTCCCAGACTTAAGTTCAAATTGTTTACACGGCAGGCGCCACATCCCTTCTCAGGAAAACTATCCTCTGCACACGAGGAACAACTACCTGCCATTCCCAGCCCTCCCCAACATCCTTCCACCTGTGAACTGCCTTTGCCATCCCCTTTTCCTACCTTTAAGTATCCACATCTTTGAGTTCCTACTGAACCCTGGGTTCCCATCGTGCCTTGCTGTAAGGCACACCTTGGCCTGCCTCCTCCTTTAGGTTGGTTTCTTAAGCCCAGGGGCTGTTTCTATCTAGCCCTTTGCTTTCTGTTGAGATGAGGAGCAGCAGACTCAAGTGCTTCTGAGGCTGAGCAGGATGCACCGATGAGTGGAGCTGTGCGCGCCGCAGTGGTGACGGGAGAGGCTGATGGCGAATGCGGCAAGCTGGAGAGTGCGTCTGTCTGCTCTCGTGGCCAGCGCTTCTCTGACCCAGCCAAAGTAGCTAGTAAAGGAAGGCTGGGTCCCTCTTGCTAGAGCTAGCTTTTTAGTTTATTTTTATTTTTTGAGAATTTTTATACCTAAGCACACGATATGGACATAATTTCTATTCCTTCCTCTCTCCCCGTTCCAACTTCTCCCAGGTCCCGCTGATCGTCCCCTCTTGAATCCATGACCTCCTATGTACATTTGGTTAGGGCTGGCCACTTGGGACTGGGAAATCTATTCGGAGGCTGCATCTGGAGAAAGCTGATCCTCCCCACCTGGTCGCTATTAACTGTCTGCAGCTTTTCATCCAAACGGGACCTTATTACATTTTCCCTTCCACAGTGGTATATTGACTGGTGCGGTCTTGTGCCGGTGGCCTTACTGCTGAAAGTTCATGGCTGAAGCTTCCTCATCATGTCGAGAAGGCACTGTCTTCCAGCATCATCTTTCACCATCTTTCTGTCTCCCTGCCCCTAAAATGTTTCCGAGCCTTAGAGGTCGAGGTGTTGTTATAGATGTCCCGATTGGAGCTGGGACACAGTCACTTATCTTCTGCCTTTTGACTGATTATGGACCCCTGTTGTAGCCTCCACCTGTTGCAAAAGGAAACAACTTTGATGAGCAGTGAGAGTTGCACTCATCCATGAGTAGAAAGATAGGTATTTATAATACAGCTGGAGGCTGTATTAATTTAGGAAACAGCCGCAGTAGGCTGTCCTGTTTCAACTTTCAAGGACGAGTTGGATGTCTGCATGTTGACGTAAGATCTCCAGGCTTTCAAGTGTTGCTTAAAAACAACACCCCCACAACCCCACCTCAAATAACAAAAGGCATACAACCCAAGCATAGCCCATCTGGAGGGTAACAGGTTGTGGTTCTCATCCCTGAGGTCAGCACAGTGCCCAAAAGTCACAACTGTAGTGTCTTCTGAGTCAGAGATGGCAACCTGGGTCACGTCCTTGCTTCTGGGTTCCCTTGGGTTTGCCCAGTGGCAGTGTAGGAGATCTTGGTGAGGGTTCCATCGCTGTGTAAATTCCTCTGTGGTCTCTGAAAGAGGGTTATGAGTGTGTTTGCATTTCTTGGTGATTTTGCTCCTAAAAGTACCCTGCTGGGCAAATGCCACACAATCCCTTCTTATCAAAATGTATGCCATCTATTTAATGCCACACAATCCCTTCTTATCAAAATGTGTGCCATCTACTTGTGCGTGAGGAGAGGGCTGTTGACTGCCATGACAAGAGTGTGGAGGCCAGAGGACAACTTCTGGGAGATAGTTTTCTCTTCCTTTCATATCCAGGGTGGAACTTCGGTCCTCAGGCTTGGCAGCAAGTGCCCTTACCAGTCACTGAGTCATCTTGCCCCCCTTATTAAATGTAAACTTAGTGACAGATGCTATCTTTGTGCTACATCATGTATAGCATGCTGTTGCAGAGCAGATTTGTAAGAATGTTCTATTAAGTATTTGGATATGAGGGGATTAAATATAACCTTTTATCCAGTAAAGAGTATCTCTCAGATTTGTTCTCTAGTATTCAGGTTTTTTTCTGCCCCAAGGGACAGCCTCATCCTAGTCAGTGACTAAAAGCTGACATTTCTATAAGGAAGTGAATTGCATGACATTGTTCATTTCCTTGGAAGGTCTTAGGAGAGATCTCATTTCCTCCCATCAGTTTTTCTAACTTTTGCCACTGCCTCAAGCCAAAAACCTCTAAAAGGCTGTTTTATATTGCCAAGAACCAGGCACCCTACCCGGCCTGAGCCCAGGCACAGAATGTCTTAAATTACTGGAACACTTGGTGAAAACTGGCAAATTACATTAAGAACCTTTTACTGATATTCCAAACAGATCCTTCGTAATCTTCTTCTTCTTTTTTTTTTTCATACACACAAACAGCCATGTGACTCAGCAGACAGGAATTCAGCAATGCTTTGGTTGTGCGTGGCTTTCTGGCTTAGCAGAGTGAGCTGGACCTCCCCAGTAGAACTGTGGAGTGTCCCAGGCCCTTCTGATGGAGAGGGGTCTGCATAGGTGGTTGGCAAGGGCTTTCTTTCAGTCTTCTAAACTCCTGGTTTCCCTACAGTTTTTCTGTCTTTAAAAAGGAAATGCCTCTTCCTACTTTGATTTAGTGTGATGTTTGGGTCCAGGAGCTTGTCAGGGAGATATGAGTCACTGCCACCATGGGATTACAATGGGACTGTCCCCTGGTGATGGCTTCTCTCTTTCATCTCTAACCTTCCCTTATCCATTGAGAATGCAAAAGAGAAATAGTGTCTTAAGTTTTCTTGGAGCATGGGGTCAGTTCAAATCCAACTCCCTCCAGAGAGACTCTCTGGGGGCTGGAGACTTAGCTTAGTATGTAAAGTGTTTGCTGGACAAGAATGAAGACCTGTGCATTCTTCAGAACCCATATAAAAAAGTTGGGCATGGTAGTGTGTGCTTGGAATCCCAGTGCTAGTGGGGTTAAAATAGACAGATCCCTGGGGTGTCCATGCCAGGAAGACTACCTACATGGTGAGTTCAAGACCAGGGAGAGATCTTCTCTCAAAAGACAAAGTAACTAGCTCCCAAGGAATGACACCCGAGCTTGCCATCTGGCTTCCACGTTATACAGATGTGCACTGCCACACATTTGAGTGCACACACAAACACTTCCTGAGTTGCCTCTCGGTCGCCACAGTATGCAGGGAGCTGGCATTGCTGGAGGTTTAATTCTTGACTTTCTCTTTCCTGCCATCTTAGGGAATACTCTCAGTTTCTACATGACATCCGCATGGGGTTAAATACTGTGGGTTGGAGGGATGAACTCACTAAGGGAAAGGTC